TAGATCTCGCGCGTCGACCTCTTGAAAGAAGGAAAATCCATGAAAATCGGAGACGATCCGGTAGTAAGGCCGTATGCGCGTATTATATGGAGTGACAAAATTTATACATGTATATCAGCTGTGCGCCGTGGGAGATCGTTGGCTCGGAGGGCGACTGTGTCCGATACATTTATCACGCAAGCTCGAGCGTAAAGAGTTTCGATTCAATTTGAATTAAATCTGATTGGTGCATCCATGCATTGTATACGCGATTCTCGCGTAAATGTGCTGAGAATTTTGACCCTGCGGACGGTATCTTTTTTTGTAACTAATAAAATAGTCACAATGCAAAAAAGGCTGACGCGTGGTCGCGAGCTTATATAGAGCGCTGCGCAGACGAGTGCAGCACTATATGTTTGCCCGCTTTTCGCGTCCAGGCGACTTTTACCGCTTTAATGTCCAAAGCGGTACACCGCGTACACGTGTGCGTATAACGTGTAAGTGCGCTGCGCGGAGACGCATATTGCGCGAGTGAGGTACGAATTGAAACGAGATTCATTGGACAAAGTGTCCCCGAGAGCTTACGAATTTTTTCGTCGCCTTTTTGCAACGACTTACAACTAAATATACAGCAAATGTACAGCAAATGTAATTCAACGCCGGTCGACTACGATGACGACGATGATAATAATCGTTAACCCTAGACTCGATCGCGGTTTCTTTGTAATGTTATTAATCGAGTCTGAGTATCTTTTCTCTCGCACACACGACGTATCTGCACGCTATATGGCTAATAAAAAGTCACCTCGCGTACACACACATATTCCAATTGTAAACTCGGATTTGCCGATCCGTGAGCTTGAAGCTCGCTCGCTCGCACGCGACGCGTCACATAACAGTAGCTCGAAAACATATAAGTATAATACAGGTGGAATATAGAGCGATTTGATTTACGAGCGCCAACAGATATACATGTATAAAAACACGGCATATAGCGGTTAAGCCGCATGGGATACACATGTACTATGTACGGGCCGTGTGAGCCACGACGATGATGCAATTGATGCCATTCTCAAGTGCACCGAGTACACACACACACACATGTAATCAAGGCCGCCTCGCGCAGATCGCGAGGATCGCTTACCGAACAGCAGCTGCCAGCAGCTGACAAGTTCAAGTTTCGAGAGTCGCATCGAGCGCGCATCAATAATTGATGGACGCTCACAGTGCTGCTTGACGTACAAATTATTCAAACTGTCAGCGTGCGTGCACGGACGACGCAGTATCTTTCACACGTGCGCAGTCGAGAATGCGATCGCTGTTTAATCGAGAGCGCGCAACACATGCCCACGTGACAGATCGCGATCGTTCTCAAAGTATACACGTACGGAAGCTCCGACGTATTATGAAGCGTTACGGCTCTGTTATACAGTGCGCAGTCTGTATACATTACAATATGTCTGCTCGAGCTTGGACAAGCCTCTATATATGCACCGAACGGACAATGTATGTGCGTGTGTGTGTATATATGCACACGTCGAGTTCTTTACGATGCAATTAATGCCCCGGCGCCGTAATAATTAATGGCGCGCTGCTGCTGCAGCCGGGTTACTTCCGCAGGTATACATCTATAACACAATATATATAGGAGCTCTCAGTTGTGTATACGCGTGGCTAGACGTATACAGAAGTACAATCTATATTATATGCATTGGCGCGTAGACACACACACGTATACAGGCCGCGATGTATAAAGTGAGAATCACGCGTACGCCGAATGCTCTCGCACCGACAGTGTTGAGCGCGAATACGCGAAACTCGCCGCGCTAGATGATTTAGCGTTTATTCCTATTTATTACCAATCATGGATGAAGTTGCTTGATAGACGCACGCGTTGACGTATACGTCCGGTTTAACGATCGACTGACTTATAGTCCACCTTGGCGCAATTGATCGCAAAGCTGGGAAAAACCAAGACAATGGAGTCTTTCATTATCCGTCTGTCTTCGCGACTATTGACTCGCGCTCGTAAATTTTATTGACTAATTTTATGTCTCGACGCTTATGCATGCGAACGTAATGTAAATATAAAAGCTTTTAGACAGGCTATAGAGTATTACGAGCTTCTGTGTGGCTCAGACTTGCATTGCTTTTCGAATACAGCTGTGTAACAGCAACGACAAATATTTGACAAAATCCTTTAACGCCACATAATATACACACACACATGCACATAAGACGACTGCGTTAATTGTTACCGCATGAGATATATATATGTACATTGCCAACGAGCCAGGCTATATACGATATACAAGCTCCAGCTCGACTCCCAAGTGTATACCGTTACATACAGCTGTGGCGTGTGCAGTTGTTACTCTAGCTCTGATACTCGAATGCAACACAGTAGAGAAGCAGAAGCAACAGTCGAGAGAGATCTCGGCTCTTTGTTTTCTTCGATTAGTCCGCGAACGTCGTGACATGAATTCATTTGCGCCAGGCGCGCAAGCAGTGTCGCTCGGGGCAAGGACCTCTATATACCGACTGTGCAGGACGTCCTCGTGCGAACGTATATAGGCAACACGTATACGTAATGTCCACTCTGATTATACTATATGTGGGCATCGTTGCGCGCACACACTCCAGTACAGTCCCTTACGTACGTGTTAATGCACGACCCCCCCTTTCCTTCGAGGTTAATCGAGGCAGATGCTCGAGTACATTAGGTAAATTATTATCGGCGCGCGGACTCTCCGCAATGATATAATCTCATTGTATTAGCGGGTGGCCGCACACACCCACGCACACCGATTGCCGATCATATATTTCTTGTGTATGATAATGAACTGGTATTAGTACCTTCGCCAATTTTTCTTCGGCTCTCGACACTCGATTTGTTTCACGCGCTACTATACTGCTGTTGTGTACCAAATGCGTTACTTGGATTAAACACTTCACACGTCGATCGCGCGCCCAACGAGAGCTTCAGGATTCGGAGAGAGAGAGAGAATTAAGAGGAAAAAGCAAGACGAGATTACGTCGAGAATAGAACGCTATAATATGTACTAGCAGCGCAGCGTCGACGTACACGTATTACTAAAGAACAAAGACCTCGAATACGAATATGTATAATTAAATATTTATGCATCCCATACCCCTCTGTTCTCTACGATATGTATGCGCTCTTCTATATAACGTGCATGTATACGGGCTGGCGAGATCTCTCGCTCTGTCTCTCTCTTTCTTGTCCTTTTTTGACCCCCTTCGAATCCTTTTCCATCCAAGTGCATCCCCCTTTTTCTCTCTGATACGAGCGCATTGCGCGCCTCTTGAACCCTTCATCTGCGGCGTAGATTACGCGTAAGAGCGAGAGATTGCGTGTATGCAGTATATGTGGGGGTCGAAAAGAAGAGATTCGAGTGCTGCTGCTGCGCTAATTCAATGAATGCGTTCGAGTAGGCTTCGAGTGTAGCGAAACGAAATTTCGAATCGCGCGCCTATGTACCATACGATTTCCACGTAAGCTCGTGTTTTTCATATGGCTATATATTATATACGTATCGATATCTATAATTTAGCGATCGTTTAGTGACCGTTAGAAAAATTATTCACGATGAGATAATTATTACTCGCCACGCGCAAATTTTAACGTTTACATTTTAAGAGGGCAACACAATTTGCTACTGCTTGAACGTATCGGAAAGCAGCCTGCGGAAATTGGAGTACGTATACGCGCGTAATGCACTTGTGTGTGTGCATTATACACATCGAGTTCGAACGATCAGCTGGCAGAAATTATACCCTAGTTATTGCGATATAAAAGCCGAATGATCGCGTTTTAAGTTGGCACTCGAGTGAAAGAGCCCGCGTACATATCCTATCTCTCTGCATAAATACAACTCTCGAGTCTATAAGAATATTTTTTTTACTAGGCATAATCACAGAATGCGCAAAGTGTACATTGGCAACTATCTGCACACACACACACACACATCCTGTGCGCGCACTTGTTTTGAAGTAGAAGAAAACAAAAAGAACGGGGCAAAAAAAAAGTCGAGGATGTAAAGAGCTGGCAAAACGCCTTGTAAGCCGCGTCTCGAACGCTCATTCGCGCATAATATATAGAACTATTTACCGATCTTCATCCTGTGTGCTACGAGATCAGATACGTCGATCGGCGCTGCGCAATTTTATTCCTTGAGTAATTGCGCCTTAACGAGGCGGAAGATTCAAAATAGAAAACGTATACGCACGTGAGCTCGCGTAACCCGTTTCAGAGATCGACGAATTTATAAGCGCAGCGCTGGTTCACGTTTCAATTGAAAATACGTATATCTCTCTTACTTCGTTTTCGTGATGCACGATCGCAAGCACAAATCATTCCCGCCGTGTCGTTTATTTTGTCTCGAGGGCTCGCGCGAGCTTCTGTTAAGAAAGTAAACTTTCAACCGGAACCTTTTTTTTTAGAATAGTCGATAGATCATCAAGTGCCTAGACCTCAAAGTGTCAACGCAGTTATTAAACGATTGAGTACACGAGGTACTTATGTCGGTGTGATTGAATACGCGAGAAGAGAGAGAGAGAGAGGGAGAGTTACGCGTTTCGGTGTCAATTTTAAATATTAATAAATCATCGCAAGCTCCGAGGCTCGAGCTGCTGCTGCACCGGCAGACGCACTTATAGACACATACACACACACGTATACGCACACACACTCAGCATGCACGAATTAACGTTGGAATGCATTCAAAGCTCTTTCACGATGACGATTACCCATGTGCCGAGAGAGAGAGTAAGCGCAGAGCCGTCAATCATCGTTGCCTCTCGAGGTGTATTGATCATATTTCTTTGACAAGCTCGCTACGCGCGATGCAGCTCGACGCCCGGAGTTCAGTCAACTTTCGGGGGATAATACAAGCTCCGGAATTTCGCGTACGCGAAGCTCATCTCGATTTCGATTTGAACTTCTTTCTTCTTTTTTTTTATAGAAATGGAAAATGTTGACAACGTGTGCAAAAACTCACCTTCGATGCAGCAAAGCACGAGCAAGCCGATCAGCATGTAGTGACGCATCTTGTCGATTTCGTTTATCCTTCCGTGGGATAGAAACGTGTAGCGGAGTAGATCAAGCGAGCCGCGCAGCGCGCCGTTCGCTATTCCGTCGAGCCACCGAGAATTTTCGGCGATATCAGCACGATTATTATTTTATTATTATTGCAACGATAATAATAAGGTCACTGCGGGTGCCCCGCCGACTATATAGCGTGTGCGCGCGTGTGTGTGTAGACCGTCGACGCCGGGACTCTCGACTCGAGCGACGTCCGGAAGTGACCGATTCTCTCGGTTTATAGGAGCTTGACGATCGCGCGCGACTACGTAACTTCGGCCGACAGACTGAGAGATAGGAAGAGAGAAAGAAAGGAAGAAAGAGTGAAAAAGAGAGAGAGAGAGGAAGAAAAAGGCAGTAACCGCTCGACGGCCGACTAACGCCCGAGAGAGCTTTGAAAATCGGCGTTAACAGCGTTAAAAGAGAAGAGCACTGATAAGGCTTAGAAAAAAAAAAGTAGAGGTAAAGAGAGGAGAGAAAGAGAGATGGAAAAAATAGAGCAGACAGAGGAGAGAGAAAGAGAGAGAGAGAAAAAGGTACACTGCACACGGTGGGAAGAGAGAGAAAAGAGTTTAAAGCTCAGAGCTTGGGCAGTTTGATTTTTTTTTTCGTCGAAAAGTCGGCGCGCACAAGGCCCTCGCTCTACGACCTCCTGCGTCCTTCGAGGTCCACGAACGACTGAGATATGTTCGGGCGGCCGGTCTGCTTGCCGGCTGACTCTGTCTATACGGGCACACTCTCTCGCACACCCGCCCCGCTGTTGCTGTGCGGCTGCTACTGCTGCTGCTGCTGCTGCTGCTGCTGTTTCTGCCTGGCTGCTGCCAATGCTTCCCTTACTCCTCTCTTTCTATCTATCTCTCTCTTACACGCCTGTGTGCTCTCTCTCTCTCTCTCTCTCTCTTCTGTGTACTTTCTATAGACACACTCCCCGCTGAAATGCAGCGATCATGTCGATACAAACACACAGACACACATACGCGCGGCAGTAAAGCAGTAAATACATATACAGTATGTATAATGGTCACACACAATGCAAACTGTCGTCGTGCATGCTCTCATTTCCACTTGGCGATCGTACTATATGTGTCTTTTTACACTGGCAAAGAAAGAGAAAGAGAGAAAGACTAAATCAGAATTTGTATACGATAATGTAATTGTACACATGTGTCGCGAAATGTCCACATGGCTGCTAGTCTACACGAGCACTTGATTACTTCAAAAAGGTAAGTATACGAGTTATACGCTACTTCAACGACGCTTCAAGATTCTTAGCTTGTACAATAGTCAAGTAGGGACGAGAAAACGAACAAAAACTTCAAAAGATTTATTTGCAAGGATGTTCTTCGCTCGTTCGAAAGTATGACGTTTCTCAGCCTCCATTTGAAATAATTAGAAACTTTTGACAATAATTTTCAAATTTTCTCTCCGTGTAAGCTTGTTATTATTTGACATGAAGCACTCGCGGCACAAATCCATACATCTTGCATAGGAGATAAAAATGAGCTGTTATTTTTGGAACAACATTTTTTTTTCACCAACTCTCCGAGTGTCTTTTCACTGCAAAATGGTCCCTTAAAAAATAATGAATGCGACGAGTGCGATGCGCACGCAGTATTCACCGTTACACACGCGAGCAGTGCATAAAGCACATTTTATTGACAAACCAGGCGAAAAATTGCCCGAGCTTGTACGTACCGGGTTAAAAATGTAATAATATATCGGTGTATAATATCGGATATTGGATATGGATCTGGTGTGCACGTCCAAGTGCGATGATCCCGCTCGTGGTTATTTTCTCACTGCGCGCAAAATATTAATTGAATATTTGTCGAAACTGATCGGTAAATCGTTCACGTCGTAGTAGTGTCGGCGTCGGCGGTCCCTCTGATACCCTGACACGACCGATCGTTTCGAAGTGAATGCGATCGCTGTACTGCGAGAGAGGCGGACGAGCGAATTTTGGAATCGATCGGGGAAATATAGAGGAAGAAATTGGTCAAAAAAGTATCGGAGCGAAAAGACGGCTTAACGGGCGACGGGTATATAAAAATTCAATTTAACAAAGTGACCTGGAAACACGATTGATTCGATGTACAGTTTGATGTGACTATGCGCTTTTTTTTCTCTCTCTCTCTCTTTCTCTCTTCCTTCGATCTATATAACGTTACATCACCACAAGTGCCAGGCTTCTTTTCTGCTTCTTTTTCTTCTGCAACTCGAAATATAACATGAGACAGACGTAATTTTTTTTCGATCGATTTCCTGGGTACAAAAATTATTTTAATAGAATCGTTAATTTGTTGACTCGTTGTTGAGTGCATCGTGTACAAGTAGGTAAACATATAATCTTATTGCTTGTAAAAATAATAAATCTATTCCAAAATGATTAGAAAAAGAAAGATAGAGAGGTAGATAGAGAGAGAGAAAAAAATCCCTTTCTCTTTCCTTGCATGAAATATGGAACACTGCTGGAGGCGTCCTCTCATAAGCTTCCGCCTACACCTGCAATCAGTACGATATTCAGCGTGTATATTAACGTGTAACAAGCATTAAACACTGTGAAAAATGTGTGCTCTGCCAATTATCGGCTGGAGAAACGCCACTTGATTAAAAAGAGAGAGAGAGAGAAAAAAAAGGATAAGAAGCAATAGGAAGACGTCGAGTCCGCTTCTGCGGGATATCGCGCGCGATATGTGAACATGGAATTAGCTGCGTGCGATCATACACATGCAGTATAGGTTCTTGGCCTAGATATATCCTGACGAGGCAGGAGAGCTTCAAAGGAGGCTAGGCTGTAGTATTCGCCAGAGTCTCTTTAATAACTCTCTCGCACTAGAGCCTAGGCAGCAGCGCGCAAACATAGATATATACGTCGTAATAATAATCGTTTCTCTTATTTTGTGGGCGAATGTCACTTAAACTGACGAACGCACCGACAAACTTCTTTTTTTTTGTCAATATACTGTCTCCTGCTGTATAGCCAATCTACGGTATTAGGATTAACTTAGTTAGCACTATCTTGGACGATTTATCCGCGCGTTGATTGAGCTTTTTGCTTCGTAATTAACGATCGACTTGTCGTTTGAAATGTTGACAGTCAAGTTCATTCGGTCTCGATCGTAAACACAGCTCGTCTACTTTTGTTGACTCTTTTTATTTTTTATTCTTGTCAACCATGACTTGACAGCTACATTATTTCAAATAGCCTTAAGTATAATAAGCATACGGATATAATACGTAAAAATTGGTATACGTTCGGTTCACATACCACAAATAGATAATTCGATCGATTGGGCATTTACCGATTTCACTCAGGTAATTTAGTCGTTATCACACGTGATCAAACGTTGTGCACTCGATATAGAAACAATGCTATCGCGTTGCAAAATTTGAAATGAACCATTATCTCGTAGCAAGTGCGCATGCACCAGCTTAAAAGTTAGCCGGGGCGATAAGCAATCTCAATGTTCAACGTCAAACGTAAATAATTACCAACTATTTGAAAAAAACCTTCTTCCTTGTAACAAAGGCTTTCACTGACCGCAACGTTGCCTTATAGGCTGTATAGTAGCATGCGAATATAATCCATGTCACATGTCCTGGCGTTTAGACAACAGATGCAATTTGTTTTAAATCCCAAATTGCCAATATCACGTTTAATATCCTGAAGAGACAAATTAACCGAAATAGGTTAATCGCAAAAGCTCAATTCCTGGATTTTGGGGTTGATTCAGGGATATCTATAACCATAGATCATATAGTACTTTATAAATATCCAAAATTTAATTTGCATAGTAAGTTATGCTTCCACAGTCGAAAACATACGTTAAGGTTATTGTAAAACTTCACACTTATAATTCCAAGCTTTCGTTAATACGTCGTTCCAAACGTGTCTGAATTGTTGGTAATTTTCATCGAGCCTTCGTACGTGCATAAACAAAAGCAAAATGTTCAGAGGAAAAAAACAGTCGTATATGGGTTCGCTAATTTTCTCACGCATCCAGCATAACTGTATACACTTTCCTGCCGATACAAATACGATCTTCTTATTTTTCTTTATGTTTTTTTGCCTCTCCAGGCTCGCGCGCGTGTGACTCATACATCTTGTTTATGTGTCGGAGGGCTTAATTTTCGTTTACGCGAAACATAATAACCATTATGCAATCAGAGGACGGTGGCGTGCGTATGCCGTACGTACTCGTATGGTGTGCGGTTTTACGGCAATTTGAACATCGAAAAATCGCGCTGCGCGCGCGTGTTCGTGCGTAAAAAATAACAGGTTTTTACGCGCTACGACGGCGACGACTCCGCGCGAGCACGCATCAAGTGCATTTTTTTAAATCTTTATAATGAGCCGCACAAGTCCGCGCAGTAAACGCTACATATCTCATTTATAGCACGAAAAATCAAATAGCGTGCGGACTGCACGCTCTCATCGTATAGTAATACTTATATTTGTGGCTCGAATTTCGAGCAGGAAACATCTGGAATGACACTAAAATTCTTTACGGCGTTGAAAAGATATTTAATCAGCTATACGCGTATACAAACAAGCTTAGTAGAGAAGGTAAACAAACACGCGCAAGCCTTTTTTTAATAATCGTCTCGGACTCTTTAATTAACCTTTTACGCCGCATTTGAATAATAGTGTGTACTCAAGCGACATAGGTTCGAGCATTTTAGCTTACTCCTATAATTTTATTTGTACACAAGCGCAGTGGAAAAATAGAGATCGCGGCAATAGTTATGCGTCGTGGGTTTTCATTTGTTTGTCAAAAGGCCGGCCTTGAACGATTATGAATGAGTTTACATGAAACTGTCATCCGTTCGTTCTCTCTGCGCCAACATCAGTTGCAGCGAACGAAATCTTTTGGAAATTCACAAACTTTTGACTCGAGCTTAACAGTTTCGAAAATCAGCAGCAGTGAAAAGAATAGAACATCGCAGCGAAGCGATAGCGAAAAAAAAGTCCGTGTAATACACCCATGGCATCTGTATTGGCATCTCTAAAACGTGTGTACGTATACCAACGCACATTTCTCTCTCGACTCGAAGGAGTGTGAGAACGTAAACACAGGTATTATCGGTGCTTTTGACCTATACACACAGAGTCCGTACACTGCAATTTCCAATTCTATGGGTCGACGCAGAAAAAAAGTCGTTTTTCTCGCGTATATACCCGTCCGTCTGTCTATCTCTCTCTCTACTTCTGTCCATACACTCCTTTCTCCATTATAGTTTGTAGCACTCGGTGGCTCGCTCGCACGCGGCGAGATGCCAAAAATGCCCCATAGAAAGTGTGTGGCGCGGTTATGTGCAATCGCGGCAATCGGATGTAAATACACGTACGTATCGCATACGTACATATATAGTACACATACACGCTGAACCCAAAAGTAGGAAATATGTTGCTGGAAAGAATAATCTGCGCAGGTTATACTTTTAAAAAGTGTAACCAGCGTAGATTATACTTTTTGTAACATCGTCCATCACAGAAAAGAGTAATCTGCGTGGATTATACTTTTGAAAAGAGTAACCTGCGTGAATTATACTTTTTCGAAAAGTGTACTTCATCCTAAAGTATAATCGTCACGAATTATACTTTTAAAAAGTTGAAACTGCGTAGATTATACTTTTTCTAAAATCGTCGTTTTCAAAAAAGTGTAATCTGCGCGGATTATACTTTTTTGAAAAGTATAATTCATCCCAA